TATATATATATATATATATACTGTATATATATATATATGAATATGTCTCAAGGCAACATACTGATATCTGGTGTGTGGTGCAATTTATATTTTATAGCTTTTCAAAAGAATCGCAAACTCGCATAAATTAGTAAAAAAAATATTTTCCCTCCATTAATGATGACTTTTTACTTATTTATTTATTTATTTATTTATTTATTTATTGTACAATGTTTGAATTTGGCAGGTGACTGGCTGGCTGGAAACCCTCTGGACTCCTTCCTCCTGTGAGGACATCCCATCACAGAGCCGCTCTCACCTCCTCCCCTTCCAGCATGGAGACGACCAAAATCCAGCCAGGAGGAGGTCTGAATGTCACCCTGACCATCCGCCTCCTCATGCATGGAAAAGTAAGCAGACTTTAAACTGACCCAGCAGAGGGCAGAGACAAAAATAAGATGATTTTTTTACAATTACCCTTTAAACTAAATATGTATATTTTTTTTTTTTTCCTCCCTGGATTAGATGCATCAGGACCTTTTAACTTTAACTATTTTAAGAAACAGTGTTTAAACTAACCTTAAATCATAGCTTTGCACCTTAATGCATTTATAAAATCAATACTACTATTAATTTTTATTTTTATTTTCAATAAAATGTTCATGAAGCAGCTCAGTCTCTGAACTGATATCTGAGATATTTATCCTTGTGGTCTCTGAGTAATTATTAAAGTATAGATGTGAATGTTTTCTTGCAATTTTAGCATTGATTGTTTTCCTCCATCACCTGGTTAAAATTTCTCATCACTTCAAAAAAAAAAAAACAAAAAAAAAAACAAAGTGTCTGTAAAACAAGCTGTGAGTGTGGAATGGAAACAGTCTAATAGACCTATTACACACCACACATTTTGATTTGAACCATGAATCTAGCAAAGGTAAATTAATGAAGGTTGCATTCCATTTGTTTCTCTGTACTTCCTGGTGATCTGGGAACAGGACAGAACTTGATTTTACTGACAGTGCTTTGTGTTTTTCCTGATTATATATATATATATATATA